CCCCAAAACCCCAAAACCCCAAAACCCCAAAACCCCGAATGAAACATAAGCAATGAAACTAGAACTAAGCATATAATTTTATTTAACAAGATGGAAAAAAGTAAAAATGAGCATGACCAGGCAGATGATACTAAGTAATTTGTGGGGGTTTTGGGGTTAGAGTAGGCTTATTTCGTGTGGATATTGGGAGAGTTTCTGGGGGATTTTGTTTGGCTTAGAAAGCTTTGTTGAAGAATGTGTGGGTGTAGTTTTTGGACTTTAGAGAGTTTTTTGAAGTCATGTTTTGTGGTATGTGTATTTATATTTATTTAGGATTTATTGTGCCACAAGAGAAGGGATGATACTAGGAGGCAGATCTAATTCAAGATCATTGCCATTCAATGGTGGCGATGAACCAAGTGATATAAATGAAGACAACAACCATCAGAGTCAGCAAACAGCTACCTTTAAAGTGAACAAAAATACTCTTTCTGGATACCCCAGTACTCTATCAGAACAAATCCCAAGGAATCAGAATCATAACCCTTATTCTAATTTACATAGCAGCTTACCAAACATACTGCCAATTAGAGGGTATACTTCAGGTAAGCCAAGATTTTAGTTCAGTTGTATTCTGCTGTATAATTTCAAGTTTAAGTCCCTCTTTAAGATACCACAGTAATGAATATCTAACTTTCTATACTTTTAAGACAGAAATTTAGATGCAAAAGCATCAGATGCTGACGATGATAAAGATAAGTTAATAGATGATCTTACAAGAAGAATTGACTTTCTTTATAAAATTGTCAATGGTTATGCAAAGGAATTTAAACTATTATATGAACAAGTAGAAGCAATAAAACCTAAAGAAGGGTGCATAGAGACTTCCGAAGAATCCAAGGTGTAAGTCCGATTCATGTTGAATGGATTGAGCAGCTTATCCAATGGCTAGTAAACAAATTCGATGTTGAATATAACTCTTTCTTAAATACTAAACTTAGGATTCTAGCTGTGGAACTGCCTTGTATGCTATTCACTCATTTAGATAGTATTTCACAAATCTTTGGCTTTCTTAAACAAAAAAGAGCTGCATTTCAAATTTGATAGCAAAAAAAGATTTAGATTTTGAAACTAGTGATTAAAATATTTGGATTGATAGAACATTCCCAAAATATTTAGAAGTATTGATAATTCAGATTCTCATATAATTTGAGATACTCGAAAACTGTTTCTTTTTATGATTAAAAATCTTTCAACTGATATCTCATCCTGTTAATACTCATATTGCCCTCGTTACTCTCAACTACATACAGAGATTCTACTCTATATTCACACTTGGGGCTAAAGAATTGGTAGCTTTTATCCCTGCTGTCAATTTTTGTTTATATGATCTACCTTGCTCATCCTCCCTAGCCATTATGTATAAACCTGTGGAATCGATAGCTGAAATACTGATCTTTAGCCCTCCATATTTCTAGAAGAACAAGTCCCAATGTTTCTGAGTATTTATGCAGAAAGAATTACTTCTGTTGCAAATATTTTGCATGCTAGATTTCATTCACAAATACACTTCTCAACTTCTTGTACAGAGTTTAACCAGAGTATTATAGAATAGATAGCGAAGAGAAATAATGATGACAACATGGGAAAACCTGTTGCAGAAGATACCCTTATGGACCTGCTCGAATGTATTAACAAGATCAAACAAAAGACAGATAAATTAGACAAAAAGGCGAAGGAAGGTGGTTTCGCTAGCTCTGAAGTTAGATTTCAGTCAAGTAACCTCAATAATTGAACTAACAAAGTTATAGATAGTAGAGAAGAAAATTAGCTTCAGAAGAACAGTGAAGAGAGAAAGAGATTCCAACCCTATGCTTTATCAAAATGATGATAATTCAGGCTTGGATGGCATTCTTTAGTGCAAAATATGAGATATACTGTGCAAAACTTCCTTTTTCTCTATCGTTTCTCCAAGAATCTTCTCTCGGTCTAAATCTTTCATAAATATTTCTGTCTATTTCTCATTTATCCAAATGTGTTAATTTTTTATCAAGATATCAGGATTTGGTATGCTTTCAGATATTCAATTTGGAATTAAGCCAATGGGGTTTTGGGGTTTTGGGGTTTTGGGGTTTTGGGG